GCTCAAAAGAAAATAACAATGAAGAACCAAATGAAAATATAAAAACAAGAGAGTCGAGGGTTCCTTGCCAAACAACATTTTGGTGCCAAGATAGAGGAGAGGATTTTAAATGAGGATTGAGCTGGAGGATTTAATATTTAGAAGAGACAGGGACAGACACGGAGACAAAAACAGGCACGTGCATGCACAGAGGAGGAACAGAGACCTCAGAAAGAGAGAGGGGGATCGTGAGGGGGAAAAGGAAATGGAAGGGAAGGCAGTGGGAAAGGAGGGAAGAGCAGAGACGCCCCCTTCCCTTGTGCCCAGAAGTGGAGATAGAAACTAGGGCTTTTGTGATGGGAACTGCTTTCCCTGACTGCGGTCCCAAATGCTTTCCAGAGCTAAATTAGTAAATAATAGCAGAGAGAGAAAGCAATTAGGAGAGCAAAGAGATGCTTCAGGATGGAGATGTGGAACAACTTGAGGGGAAACTTATGAGGCAGAGCCATTGCAGCCCCTCACACCCTGGGAGGTGAAGCTGGGCAAGGGGAGGAGTCCGGAGTTGGAGGAGTAGGGGCGAGTTCTCAGAGCAGTAATGAGAGGGTGGATTGCCAGAAGCCTGCCAAAGAGGGGCAGTCTGGTAATGAGGGGAGGACCCTCAGGAGACTGAACCAAGGTTGGGGTGTGGGCAGAAGGATGTTCATGACTTAGAAGGGATCAGCTCCATCAGCCCAGGCTGAACTGTGGAGACCTGTGAAGCCCAGACCTACTTGGGACATATCACCCATGTCAGCTCTGAAGGCAATTTATCAGCGGAGGTGAGACAGGAGACTTGATGACTTTCCTTCTACCGGCTCCCCACCCCCCACCCCCACCCCGCATCCCCAGCTGGTGTTGTAATTACTAGGAGAATCTTGAAGGCCCCAGAGTTAGAGGAGCCAAAGGACATTGGAAACAGGCACAAGCTGATCTCCCAGCATCCGGCTCGTGTGCTAATAAGAGCATCAGCCAAGAAAACCACATCCCAGACGGAGTGGGAACAGCGACAACAGGTGGCAGGAGCAAGCCGGGGGGCTTGGTGGAGGATGTGCGGAACAGCAGAGCGAGCTTCCTCTGCTGGGTGCAGTCCTGATGGTCTCTCAGGGACTAGCGCACAGCCTCACCCAGGAAGGCCCCTCCTTGAGGGGGCTGAGGCCCAAGTCTCCCTGGGGACCTGGTTCGACAATACTCCTGAGAGGCCAGGATCCCCAGAGCCTCCATACCAGTTAGTGTGCTCTCAGCTTCCTGTAATAGAAACGCTAATTAAAATTCCCTGTGCACAAAAGGCAGGGTAGTGTCACATGGCTCAGCAAGACTCCAGAGTGATGTGGTTGGAGACCCACATGTTTTCCATCTCTGCTTGGTCACCCTTGGTGACAACTTCATGCTCAGACTAGGGCCCAGGTTGGCTGAAGCTGCTCCAGGCATCTCCCCAGATGCAGAAGTGTCCAAAGCAGGAACAAAGACTCTCTCCTAGGACACAGAACCCTCCTGAGAAGCAGACTCCTCTCTCCAGACCTCAGCTCATCCCTCATTGGTTTGAACTGGGTCACTTGTCCTGAATCACACGTTGGCAGGGGGATGAGGAGATTGGGATCACTCAGGCTCACCTGGGCCCTGGGGCTGGGTCAGCCCCCTCTGAAGCTCCTGGTAGTGGGCGGCTGGGGTTGGGGGGGGGAGGCACCTAAACAAAATGGGGGAAAGAAAGGGAGAATGTGTGCTCAGCTAGTGATTCTTACCTGAGTTAATGTGAGGACAAACGGCCAGGGATGCCAGGAAGCTACTGGGTGATGACCCAAAGCCAGGGCATCAGAGGAGCCTGCCCACCATTCCTCTGTGGCCCAGGTGCCCAGTGTTCTTATCTGTTGTGGAGAAGGTGACCATGTCTTGAAAGATCGTTCCAATCATCCTGGCACAAGAATAAATCTGATAGAGTGAAGATTACCTAGGCTTCTCTAGGGCCACCCTGCGGGCAGTGGGTAGGAAAACAGGGCTACAGAATTAGGAAGAAACCAAACTGGACAAAGGGGTGCAGGGGTCCAGCTGTGGCCCTGTGCTGTCTTGTTGGGTGATCTTGGGCAAGAGAACTCCTTCAGCCTCAGTTTCTCCATTTGTAATATGAGAGCCTGACTAGTTGATTTCTAGGATCCTTTCCAGCTCAGACACTGTGTTCTGGGGAATCTTAGGATGGAGAGAGTAACTGGGAGGCAAGGGAGAGGGCGGGCCAGGAATTGGTTTACAGGATCACTTAAATCGCCAAACCGAAGGCTCTGGAAGCCAATAGCAACAAAGGTAAGTAGCTCCCCCTGAGGGAGATGCTTGTGCACGCTGGAAAGGGAGAGCGTGTGGCATTCATCATTTCCATTTCTCTTCTTGGCGAGGAAATGTGAGAGGCCCATTAATAAAAGAACCACACGGGCCTGGGGGAAAATGAACTATGTGCAAGGGACAAGGAAAGTTGTAGGCTCGCGGAGGAGCACCAGGTGCCATGCAGGTGATCCTTGAATCAAATGAGGAAGGAGCTAGGTGGCCAAGGGGAAGGGCAGTGGGGTCGAGGAGGGGTGACAGATTGGAGGATTCGCAGGAGTGCTCAGCCTGGCTCAGCCCCGCTCGGCAGGGCCATGGGGTTCTCCTCTGGTCCTGATCAGGGATTTGGGTACCCTTGTCTGCTTAGTGTTCAGGTCGTAGGTAGATTCAGGACCAGGGGACAGAGAGGAGTCAATGAGGGCTGGCCTCATTGACTGGGTTAGAAGGGGAAATGTGAGGTCTAGGGTGCCTGCCAGAGGCTGGGGGCACGGGAGTGGGAAGAAAGAAAAGAAGCAGAGGAAGAAGGAAGGCAAGAGAGAGGGAGGGAGGGAGGGAGGGGCGAAGAGGGGATTCCCTGGCCAGGTGATTTTTACCGCACAGGTGAACTTGGACTAGAGAAACTGTGTTGTCTGTGTTTCCTGTAACTGCCTTTGAAAGAGATCATCCAAAATCAGCTCACCCAGTTCCCCTGATAGGTCTCCTGGCCCAAAACTACAGGAAATAAGGCGCTCTGCCCAGCCTGTTTTCTGACCTTGTAGCTCCCCGTTTTTACTGCTCCCCCGAGACTGCATTCAGCCAGCCTGTTTCCTGAGCTCCTGCCAACGCCTGGCAGACCTGGCGGTGCAGGTCCCTGCTCTCAGGAAGGCTGACCCCTGACTCCTGCCATTATAGAACGCTTTTACAGCCCTGTGAGGCAAGGACTGCTGTGTCTCTTTTATAGATATGGAACTGTCACTGATTTTGAGAGGTTCAAGGTTCAAGATGCTCAGGGTCAACTCAGCACCCAAAGGAGGGACTGGGGTCTGGACTCCGGGTTGAAGTTCTGCTTCCAGGCTCTTTCCTCTGTACTTTGCTATCTCATGCCAAGCATATTCTCTCTGGAGGGCTTGAAGAAACATTAGGTGGGCTTCCTCCATCCTTGGAGGGGCCATTGTTGTGGAGCCTGGCCAGGTGGGAGGCCAGCTGTAAGAAGTCTGTCACATGGGAGAGTGCTCTGCCAGTCCTTAAAAAGGTAGTCCTTAAAAAGTAGTCTTCAGTCCAAAGGAGAGTCTTGGGAGGGCAGCGCTGAACTGCTGATAGGGGGACATGGTAATTCTGTGAAGAAACTCACCTTGCAATGGGATCGAGCATGAGCTGCTAGTCCCTCAACCTCACTCCTCCTGAGAGGGCTCCACCTGCTTTCCTGGAGCACCCCCAGGGCCCCTGAACTGTGTTGACCACAATTTACACTTGGTAGGTATTTCTGGTCAGGGACCTTGTGAACATTAACTCAGCATATTATTATTTCCTTCTTAGATTGAACATGTCCCAAGGACAGGAGTCTCTGCTGTCACCACCTGAACCCAAACACCTCAGGCTTCCCCTCTCCAAAGGCTGTAACCATAGATTAACTCACTGGGCAGTGGGCATCTGTCAGCCAATAGTGCAGTCAAGTAATAGGTCTTGGGAACCAACCACCTGCCAGACCCCATGCAAGTTGCCATGTAGCATATAGACATTAAGGTCCTGGGTGCCCTAAGGAGCTTGCGTTTTAATAGGGAAGATGGAAATATGGACACGACCATGGCTTAAGGCAATCTACAATATGACCCCGAGTATGAATCTGATTCATGGCTCCCTCCTGGGCTGATCCACACTTTCCAGTTCCTAGTCTTTGTATTTCTTCCTCCCTGGCTGCTCCCCACCCTCATATCCAATAATGTGTCACCCAAATCCTCAGTGCTCCCATCCAGTGTGGCATCCTCCACCATGTGTTCTCTTGATCACCCAAAAGACATCTCCCTTTTTTTGACCCCTACAGACTTCGGTGGGTCCATCTCACTCAGTCTTCTGCTACCCTGATTGGTGTTCTCTCTCCCTGCTCCTCCCTTCCACATCCTTCTGTGGAATATCACAGGAGGAGGCCTCTCCTCTTCTGAACTTACCTTGTGCTTCAAATATACTTGTCAGATTGAACAGTACAAGTTAGACACTAATTCTAGGTATATTTAGGAAGAAACAGCATCTTTGGGGGGCTTCCAAGAGGAAGTGACCTTCCACTAAGCCTAGTAGAATAGGCTAAGCTGAGGGAAGTGGTCAGTTTCCTTCCCTTTGCCTGAGATCAGCAGCCCCACCTCCTTCTTGGGAATTCCTGGGAACAATGCAAGTTGCAATTTCCCCAGGGGTTGGGGGGGGCATATCCTTGGAGTCATTTGGAGCCCACAGGGGTAGCTTGATGCTTCCGTCCCAGAGAAGGCTTTGCACAGTGCCTGTGGACAAGAGCCTGGGCAGTCAGCAGAAGTGCAAGCCCAGACACAGGGAGGGCCGAGGGCAGTGGCAATGCACCCTTATTTCCCCTTTCTTTTGCTTTCCTTTTTCTTCCTTCCTTTCTCTCTCTTTTTTTCCTCTCTTCTCTTTCCTCCATTTCTCTGCATCTCGTCAACTCCTCTCTCTTCCTTGCTTCCTACCTCCCCCAGCTGTCCTCGGCCCTGCTATTTGACGCCGTCTATGCTGTGGTGTCAGCGGTCCAGGAACTGAATCGGAGCCAGGAGATCGGCGTGAAGCCCCTGTCCTGCGGCTCAGCCCAGATCTGGCAGCATGGCACCAGCCTCATGAACTACCTGCGCATGGTGAGGAGCAGCTGAGGGTCTGCCCAGCCTAGTTTGATGGGGTGGGATGCTTGGTTCAAGACACAAGGAAGCCCTTCAGCTCCAGGCTTCCCTGTAGGTAGATCACAGTCCTACATAAAGTCATCTATGGTGGCCCTGGTTGATTGGATCATGGGTCACTAATACCTAACGCCCACTGAGTATACATGGCAAGTTTGTTCCAAAGGCAATGACCTTTGAACCTTAGACTACTAAGGGGCCCTGAAAGCCAGGCTTGGAAGCTGGCCTTTCTGCTCAGCAATGGTTTTAGCAAAGCTCTGCACAGCTGGGAAGACCCTCACTCTGGAGCCTGTGAGGCCTCCAGAAGCTGCAGCCTGGAGAATTCTAGCTCAGTGCTGGGTTCTCCCATGTTCCTCTCCATGGCTAAGCTTCCTCTGAGGAGCAGCATGGATTTCCACCTACAAGTAAGACATCTCCTGACAGAGAGGCCTGGGGCAGAGGGTCTTGGGCTTAGTGTTTTTTGAGTCAGTTTCAGGGGGCATCCTGGCTTCCTGAAGGCTTGAGAGGTGGTGAGCACCTGCCCAAAGAGAATAAATGCTACAGACAGGTCCCTAGAGAAGGGACAGAGGGACTCTGAGCTCAAGCTGGCATCCTGACTTGTATTGAAATAGAATTGGCATGGGGTTATTGGATGTGGGTGGGCAGGAGACTGTGTCTCCGTGACTTCTCCTTTCTTGGACATCCCCCAAAGCCCATGGAATGCTTGCTTGGAGCCAAGGGCATGTGGGGCCTCTTTGGTGCTGTAACTCACTCTCTCTTGGACAGGTAGAATTGGAAGGTCTCACCGGCCACATTGAATTCAACAGCAAAGGCCAGAGGTCCAACTACGCCCTGAAAATCTTACAGTTCACAAGGAATGGCTTTCGACAGGTAAGCCTGGCGGTGTTGCTATGGTGACAGACCCCACCCCGTTGTTCCTGTCTCTGTCCCTGGCCCATTTCTTTAACTCCTTGATGTCAGGTATCCCACAGAACAGCAGGCTGCATCCCAGGCAGGGTCCCGCCCAGCACTGATGTCCCCCTCCTGCCAGGTCAGCCAGCATGATGTCACAGAGGGAGGTGAGAAGGGGGATGGTGTCACTTAAGGAAGGAATTCCCTGTCCTTATCCCCTCTTCTGGATTATTCTACTCACTGAATTTTACCCTAACTCTGGAGCCCATGAGATTCCAGGGATTCACTGGCGAAGCACAGACTGGATCCCAGATGGGCTGAGGAGGCCCTTCGGCGATGGAGTGGAGGCCCATCTCTCCCGTCAGCTCTTCTCCGGCCAACCCCAGCCCCACCTCGTGCCAATCAACCCCTCCTCTCCTGTCTGCTCCCATCATCCCAGGGCTGCTCTGTCCTTCCTGGCTCCTCTCAGCTTCCTACTCCTGTTCTCATTCTCCTTCGTTAACCTTCTTACCTTTTCTCGGATCCTCCTCCATCAGAGGAATCAGGGACTCTGACAGCCATTCCAAGTGTCTCTCAGGTCGCTCATCCTCCCCACCACCTTAATAATCAACTTCCTTTCTAGGAGCCCTCTCCAACCTTAGAAAAGCCTGGAAATAGGGAGGCAGGTCCTAATCAAAGCAGGAAACAGGCATGTTAGAGAGCCTCCTGACTATCCAAGTGGCTGAGCCAGGGAATGCTCCCTGTAGGGCTTGCAGAGTCCCCCTTTCTAGCAGATGAGGAAGAATCACCGTCTTCATGTCACCATCACCAGCATAACGATGGCAACTCTCACTTAGTAAGCACTTACCGTGGGCTGCCACATAACATGTATTCACTAATGAACCCTACAGAATTAGGTGCATTTTGTTAATGCTCTCACTATCAGTGAGGAAACTGAGGCTCCAGGAGACTGATGGATTTGTCCTCGGTGAAGAGCACTGGACACAGGAGAGCTGGTTTTGGGCCCATCTACACCTCCCAGTAGATTCCACATTTCTAACCATGATGGAAAATTATGCATCAGAATCATGTTGGTAATGTGCATAAATGCAAATTTTTAGGCTCCACCCCACAAGAGTGGGGTGGCCTAGGGTGGGGCCACGGAATGCACTCAGTCATCAGGTACCTCAGCTTGTGTGGATGAACGTCTGTACCATAGAGCTATCATATTTGCCTCCCATACTCTGTGCTCATGGGGAGTCCTCCTCAGCCCTTCTCACGTATCCAGTGGAGTTCCTTGTAGAAGAGCAATGATTAGAACACTTTTTGTAAGATCACCCTTCTTGGAAGACAATAAGTCCCCGATGGAGGGAGATGGCCCCAACCCTGGTGCCAACTCTGTTATTAGGTCCTCACAGCTCTGAGCTGGGGCTATGTGATCTTTAAGCAACAACCACCATTTTTCATAGCTTCTTAAATGGGCACAAGGTCAGGCAGGCAGCCAGAAACTATGGGGATGGAATATCACACAGTGGTCGTTCCATTGATCTAACCAATCATTTATTGAGCGTGTACTATGTGTCAGGCACTGTGCTGGGCTTGGGGGAAACAAAGCTGAAAGAGACAGTCCCTGCACTGAGAAAGAGCTCACGGTCTGGTGAACAAGAGTGACACAGGAAAAAATAACTTCAATTTTGGGTTATTAAACTCAATTCATGCCCTCGGGCTCATCAGTCCCTGAATAAGTAAGCTGCCAGCCTGTGGGAAATGTCAGGCAGGCTTTTCCCTGAGCTCTGATGTGCTTGGGGGATGCAAAATGAAGATCATTCATTCATTCTTTCAAGAAGTGCGTGTTGAGCCCCTTCTTTGCGCTGGCCTGCCTTCTAGGTACAGTTTTTTTTTTTTTTTTTTTAAGAGAAAGTATCTGCTTTTGTGGAGTATGTATTCTAGTAGGGGACAGATGACAGGTGTACAAACACAAATAACATCAGGTCAAAAGCAGTAAGTACTCCAAGGAAGACTACAACAGGGCAAGGAAGTGGGTGCAAAGAAATCAAAGGTCTGAAAGGGCAGGGAGAACATCCTGCTTGCGCCAGCCCCCGACCCACCCGTAGAAACCCCTCTCAGGCATCGAAAAATTCCTCTTGGACCTCAGTCCTGCTCTAGGAGTGACCCTGGAAAGAACCCACCTCCAGCACTCCTCCTATCCAGGGACAACTCCAGTGGCCCTGGTCTTGCCTCTCACTTGAAAGACAGCTGATTGGGCTCAAAATCTCTCTGCACCTGAGTTGTGCTTCTACATTGGCTGCCACTCAGACACACTTCTGCCAGCTGTGAGGCCACAAGGTTGCCTGAATCATTAAGAATTGTCATCATCATGCTGGGTATGGTGGTGTATGCCCATGACTCTGGAGGCTGAGCAGGAGGCTGACACAGTTTGAGGCCAGCCTCAGCAATTTAGGGAGACATGGTCTCATTATAAAAGAAAAAGGGCTGAGGATGTAGCTCAGTGGAGAGAACTTACCTAGTATGTGCTAGGTCCTATGTTCAAACCCCAGTACCCAACCATCCATACATAAGAATCAGTATCATAAACCACCAGCACCCACCTTGCAGCCCCCAGACTCTACCCTAAGGCTTCCTTTGTAGTGGCTCACTGCCCTTTAACAGCAGCTCCCAGTAGCCCCACAGGAACTCACGACTATATCTTTTGATTAGTAAAACCAGAATCTGCTGTTTAACTGGCACCTAGATGGAAGATTGGGATGTGAGTGGTCCACAGGTTACCCTTTGGCAAATCCTGCCTTAGCAAGAGTAAAATTCCTGTTTGATCTCCCTGCACCTCACCCCACTCTTCTGAGCTAATCTGCCACACAAGTGACCATTAAAGAGGATGTGATGTTTTTGACCTTCAGCTGCCCCAAGAGACACACTCCTGGCTGGACTTACAAAGTGGATGGTTAAAATCCTTTTTATGACCTATTTTTTCCTTGGGAAAGTCTGATGAATGTCCTGCTGCTTCTGTCTGGTTCTGGTACCAAGTGGACACTGTGCATGATGTGTCATGGGCACAGATGTAGCTTCGCAGCGCTGGTCCCCAGGTCCCATCCCAATCACCACCCAGTCTTTACCTCTTAACAGGTGTCCTTCCCCTGCTTATTGCAGGATGAAGAAACGGTTTAGGAAGTGATGATTAATCGTGCTTCTCTTCCAGGGTGGAAGGAAGGAATGCCAATATCTCTGCCCTAACAGTCTCCCAGTTCCATCCAAGGTGATGCTGGCAGGGGGTGGGGGGGCGGGGCAAGTGACATGGAGCAAAGGAAATATCTTTTGAGTGCCAGGTACCCACATGTGCACTTTGCAGTCTTGAGAAGGACTCTTCACAGTAGGCCAGTTCCCAGTTCAACAGCAAGAAAGCTCAAGTCTTACTCAAGGGTAAGGCAATTGGCCCACGTCCTGCTATCAGCAAGGACTTGGGCACACAGGAATCTATGTTCAGGTTTGTCCAGCTCCAAAGCCCATGCCCTCGACTCTCCCACTTCCCTGGTCTCCTGGTTCTTATGACCTGCTGGATTGGATCTTCTTTAGTAATGGCATCTTCTTATTTGGATCTGGTTTTATTCTTTCTCTGCCCGCCTGGGCAAATGACTATTAAGAGCTGGTTTTGATTATTTAGAAAGCACCACGCAGGGACCCAGTGGGTTGTAATTGGTAAAATGTCTGAACCAAATACTATATTCCCTGCCAGTGGCTGATTAAAGGATTATTACCATTTTAAAAATAGTCTTTCAGAATTCAGGGTTATTTTTTACTATTTAAAAAATTACTATTTTGATTCGGCTCAGAGAGCATTTCCCATTTTGGGATTCCAGGGAGCTTCCACTGGAACATGTTTGGGGGAACATGTTTCCTGTGGTATCTGTGACATTCTGAACCTGGACCATCTCCTGATTTTGCATGTGTGGGCATAGAAGTCGATAATGTTGCCTCAGTCCATGCTCCATTTCTGCCCATGTGATTCCCATTCTCACCCAATGTTCCCCTTCTCCTCCCCAAGAAGGCATCCTGGGTACTATGGGCACAGCACAGTCCCCTTCCTGATCTGGAAGAAGTTCTGCTTGAAAGAGAGTAGGGAAAAAAGAAGCATGGCATTAGAAGGCCCTTAATTTCTTCATTTATTTGTCTGAAGATCAGAGATTCTTAGCCCCAGAGGATCGGAAATGGGTTAACAGGCTTTAATTAAGCCTGTGGGGTTTGACATCCAGAGCTAAAGGTGTGGATATACTCTTTTCCTATTGGTTCACTGTGGACCAGGAGATGGGCACCTCAGTTTTCTTCCCAAGTGCAGTGAAGATGGTAACCTGTCCACATCTGGTTCCACATCTGGCCAGCTGAACCCAAGGATTATCGGAACTAGATTCCCATGGCTCTCCTCTGCCTTCTTATGATTATGTGGAAGGCTGGCTCCACTGATACAATAATAATAGATGCCATTCATTGTCGCCTATGTGAGGGACCGTGCTGAGTGGTGTACATACATATTTAAATTTTTGCATCCTTTTATCAACCCTGCATGAAAGCTATTCTCTCATCTTGTAGGTGAAAAAAAAAAAAACAGAGGCAGAGAGATAAAGAAATGTATCCATATTCATAGATTCAGTAAGTGCCAGACTGAAGAACTGAGTTGGGGTCTTGCTTCTTCAAAGTCCAAGGCACTTTACAACTGAGCTGCACTCCAGCCCTTTCAATTTTATTTCGAGGCTAGGAGAAGACCTGGAAGGCTGCTCCATGAAACTTCCAAACCAATGCAAAAATGTTCTGTGTTGTGCGTGAGAGACAGCCCCCAGCCTCCCTGTGAGCATGTCCTGGGCTGGGGAATTCACCATCTCTTCAGGGCCACATTCCAGATTTTTCCAGGCACCGGGTCAAACTCTACTTCCTAATTCCACCCTCTGGAGCGTCCTAGAATAATCTGCTTCTCCTTTCTTAACAGCTCTCAG